CTCACTGGCACATCCAAATGCCACTTTTGGGGTTGGCTATTCACTGCGCTTCCCCCTCCCAGTCCTAATGCAGCTGTGAACCAGCCAAACACGGTGGCCTTGAGCTCCAGCAGCAACTAATAACATTGGTACTGATATCAACGTTCTTCTCATAACAAGTCTTACACTGAAACTAAAACACAGCTATTCTAGTTACTAAAAAGAAAATTAACTCTATCCTAGCAAAACCAGGACATATGCTGTTATGGTCATTGTCAGTAGAATGATGTTGGCATATCTTAAAATGTAGCTGTAGATTCCTCTTTTGTCTGTCTTGAGTACAGCCCCTCTTCCCCTAAAGCCTTCTGATATCGCTAAAATTATTTCTAATTTGTCATCAGTTACCTTAAAGCTAACTATGTAATTGTAAAATATGTTTTTCTTCTCCCTGCAGTGCTTCACATGTAGTTGTCTCTCTTGTGAAAAACTATCCAAACTATCTGATTATAAATCTAGATAAGGTGAGTAGCTTGTTTTCTTTCTTGAAATGGAAAACTGTTTTGAATTATTTTTGATGCAATCCACAGCATGTTGAAATTTATGTGGATTACTGTTGTTTCTTAATTTTCTGTTTGACTACCCATTTGTTCCTATACAAAAAACCAATCAACTGCTGTTCCTGTGCCCACCACAAATAATTATTTGCACAAAAAAGGAAGCTTTTGTAGTTCTAAACTTCTGTTTAAGAGTTTTTGCAATTGGAATTTATTTCGGAGTTTTATGGTTTTAAATCTTCGTGTCTGCTTGCAAAATAGCTTGTCTTTTGAAATAAGTTTTTACTTTGTTCTCAGACTTCGTGGTGATTAGGCTGGGTCTGAGTTAGTTTATTTCCTTTCACAAAGCCTGCTTAATTATGTTGTGTGGATATTTCTCTTTAGCTCGATTACTGTGCAAGCTTGAAGAATCTTGAAACCGTCTCTGAGAAGGAAAACTACAAGTTTATCCAGGTGATAAAGCCTTCTCTTCTAGTAAACTTGATGTTCTACTGATTTTTATGCTTTCATGTGAAGGTAATATGATCTCCAGAACTGCTTGCTCACCCTCCCCTGCCTGGGAAACGGGGGAGAGAATTAGGAGAGTAAAAGTGAGAGAACTTGTTGGTTGAGATAAAAACAATTTAGTAATTGAAATTAAATGAAAACTAAAATAATAATGATAATAACAGTAGTAATGGAATGTACAAATGACTGATGCACAGTGCAGTTGCTCACCACCCGCTGACCAATGCTCAGCCCATTCCTGGATAGCGATTCCAGGGCAGAGACAGTCCCAAAACCACAGTCATAGAGCGGGGAGAGAGAGAGGGAGCCTGAGAGATCTGGGAGTTTTCTGGTCAACCCTCATTTATATACTGAATATGACAGTGTATATGATATAGAATATCCCATTGGCATATCCAAATGCCAATTTGAGTTTGCTAATTTACTATGCTCGTCTCGAGTGTCTTCTGCACCTGCAGACAAGAAAAGCATGAGAAGTTCAAATGTCCTTGTTTTTTCTTAGCAACAACTAAAAACATCAGTATATTATCAACATTCTTCTCTTAAGAAATCCCATACTGAAACCAAAACAGTGCTGTTCTAACTACTAGGGAGAAAATTAGCTCTATCCTAGCGAAACCAGGACACTATTTCACCCCCAGAAGTCTGTGACAATATGCAGTATGTTCTCTCTTTTACATGAAGTAGTCTTTGGAAAGTTGATATATTTTATTGTATAATAAAGGCACAGAATTTGTAAAAGACTGATTATGGAGATGAGTAGTTTTAGGGATGATTGTTTCATTTTTGATGGGTAGTATGAAGAAGATAGACTCAGCTTAGGCTCCTCCATGCTTCTCTGATGCCATCTTAGATTTTTCACCTTCAAACACTGCCACCTGTCATACACAGT